AGCAAAGTTTTAAAGTGAATGCTGCCCTTTGCAGACACCCAAACTCAGCTCTTTCCCTTCTGCCAGGCTAGGTCAGTTCCCCAGACAGCTGTAAGGAAGAGAGAGAAGACTCACAAGTGTTTCCTTCCCTGTTGTGAATGATATTGTGCTCTTTCAAGCACATGGCCTCTGCCTCTCACTCTCTCTCCTAGAAGGAGTAATTTCCCGGAAGGCACCTTAGACCCTCACATGATGGTGTTCTCAGAGGCCTGCCACGTCATGTTCCAGGCATGTTTAGACATGATGGAACCATGATGTGGAGCCAGCATGGGATCAAGGAAGAATGAGCTCATAAATATAAAGTGTCTGCTATAATGTACACTCACTAAATGTTGGCTTTTAATCATCATTAGATAGGTGATTCACAAAAACATTTCTTTAGTTGAAGAAATTTTTTTAAATTGAACTAAGAGCCTCTCATAGTCCAGGCACTTGGATGGGCCCCATGGAGAACAGCAAGATAAAGTAATTTGATTTCTACCTTTAGGAAGTTTAGAATTTAGAGAGAAGGCACACAGGCCAACGTAGTACAGAGTTAAATCCGGTAAATGTTATGAAAAGTATGAACAAAATACTAGAGAAGCATTGAGGGAGAAAATGCCTTCTGTCTGGTAAGCTGGACCAGATGCCATAAAGTGGGATTTTTTTTTCTTCTACTGTGATATCAGAACAGAGGACCAGCACATCAAATGACACCAACATCTCTACGCCCACCGAAAACTGTTCCCCACACCTCAGTGCAGAGTTCGAGAGTTCTTAAGGAGGGCGTCTAAGAGCCTGACCCCTTCTGGAAGTCCTCCCCAGGCCCTATACAGACTTGGGGGCCTTGTCTTTGGGTGGAGCAGAGGGAAGGACTATGTGAGGGGCAGGGCGGGAGCCTCCCTATGGCACCTCTGTGTCTGCTCATCTACCCTGCAGATGCATCTAAGTCAGTCCTGCTTTTGTCCAGCCTAAAACATTGCAGGTACGCTCAGCAAACATCACAGAGGGGCAACCACCATCCCAAAGCCACTTAACAGATGAGCAGGCGGGTAAGCAGCCGGGCGACCCTCCCTGCAGCACCAGGGGGGTCAGTGGCAGTGGGGAGGGCCTTGGTGTTCCTGCAGCAAGAGAGAGGAAGGCAGGCCATGAGGCCAGCCCCTTGCAGGGCCGCCCGCATCTGGGCTTCAGGACCCACATCCGCCAGACGGCTCTGTGAACTGGGGTTTAATTGGGGTTTGAATGCTGATGAACGGTTGAAAAAGCAGCCTGGGCTGAAGAGAGGCCTAGGTCGATCACTCCATCACCTCTGCCACCGTGATGGGGTGAAGCTTTATCCTTCAGTGAGGCAGCAGTGCCATTCCAGGACAAGGGAGGTGCTGAGGAGGGAGCTCCGGCAGCCTTTGGGGCATGCCACAAGTGGGGAAAGAGCGGTAGGCTGGAAAGAAGGATGAGAGAAGGAACCAAAGGATAGAGTGGAGGCTGGGACAGGTTCTTCATTGCTCTGAAGTCAGGGAAAACCAGGTAGAGGGCTGTAGGAGTGAACATTGCTCCAGCTGGGGTGATGGTCATGAGAGAACAGGTACAAGCCAAATACATGGCAGGAAAACTATGCCAGCATGGTGGGCATTTAGGAAGTGAGGAAGGCCAGGAAGCACCACCATCCTGGGAGTGAAAACTGGCAGAGGACCACAGAGGGTTAGTGGCACTGCTCTGCATGGCCCTTCTCTCTAGAAGGCCTGCGGTTAGTGCTTCTGTCATAAATCTCACCCTGAGTACTATATGGAGACGGGGCTTCACTGGAGGACAGCTGCACAACTAATTTTAGGTTTGTGCTGGAGAAGTAGAGCAGGTTTAATCTCCAGGGCAGGGAGGAGTCAAAGTGATGGCACTGGGCATCTGCTCCCACAAAGGCATCTGAGAACCACCCTTCCACAGCTTGCTAGTGTTTGGAGGATGATATTCAGAGGGCTATTCACGTCCTCTGATATGGGTACTGCATCCCCTTCCTGGGAGACCCCTTCAAATCACAGGTTCTGGCATCCAGGTGGAGTTGAAACAACTCATTTGGGTACATCTTAGTTACTATTTGTGGGGATGGAGTTCAAGGGAGAAGGTGAGAATGGCAGAAATGTCTCATCAGCATTCTCTCCTCTGGCTCTGCTGCTGGATCTGAAGCAGCCAGACAAGCAGCCAGTAGTATTTGTATTAATAACAGCTAACAGTATTATGGCACATCAAAGCTCACGAGATTTTTACACATTATTTCTTAATGCCCACAACAAACCCAGGAGGTAGGACTTGACATTCACACTTTGAGGAATGTGAAAGCTCAGTGAAGAAAGGTTAAATGAGTTGCCAGGGAATCCACTAGAAAGAGGGCTACAATGCTGCTCTTCAGATTTCAGTGCCTTTGTCCTTACCTGGATGATGGGAGGGGGGCTAGGAGTAAGGTAGAAAACAAGGCAGCTGTGGGAAAGAATCCAAACATGCAAGGAGCAGACATTTATTTAGCCTTTGAGAGAAAATAGCCATTGTACGGAGGAGAAAGACTCCCCTATCATTAAGCAAATTGTTCCACGAGTATGAGCCATTTAGACGGCAACAAAAATTTAAACAAACTTTAAGTGCTTATGGTCGTCTTACATATGGTGGTTTCGAAATAAAGTGCTGGAAATAAACTGTGTAAGACACTCCAGTGGTGCTTTAAGAGCTAAAGCTCATGTATCAGACAGGGTTTAAATCCCAGCTCTTCCACTTAAATCCCAGCAAATCACTTAACTTCTTTCAGCTTCCATTTTTTTCCCTGTAAAATTGGGAACAGTAATAGCACCTACCTCACAGAGAAGAAGAAAGAATCAGATGGCATAAACACCTGCTAAGAGCTCAGAGCAGGGCACATAAAGAATGCCATGACCATGCTATCCATATGGTAGTAGTTGGTGAAGATAACTTCTCTGTGGAGGATTGGTTTGAATTGGGCATTTGGCTCAAGAAGGGAAAATCATCATGCTCAAAATTTATCAAACAGACCAGAAATGCAGAAATCAGCCTGAGATCCCTGAAAGGTTCTTTTTGTCATTGCAAACCCCCATGGACCCCTGGTTTTTCCCATGGTACCTTGATCAGATCTGTGCCCGAATTCAACTTGCTTTGCAGCAGAAGAGCAAGAGACAGAGCAACTTGACATAAGTCTCTAAGAAAGGGACTTTTATGCACTGCTGCTTACTGTGCCCCAGCTCAGCCTGAGACAGGAAGATAATGAAAGCTATCAGTGCCCCAGAAGGGAATAGTCTAGTACCAAGTTTGGCTGGGAAGACTTCCTAGAGCCTTCTCTAGGCAGCCTTCCAAAGAGCATGGCACCCACAAGGCAAGAAGGGATAACTGGGTGAGACTTCTATATGGATGGGCCCAGCAGACAACACACAGATTTTCACTTAGTGACAGGGAGGCAACCACATACTCCCGAGCTGCCAAACAGACAAATGGAAACACTGCCAGATTAGAGGAGGTCTTGTCACTTGAGTAGAAAGATACAAGTTCATGGGCTGATGACCAAAGGACGTGTTGAGACTGCAGGTATCCGCAACGAAGGTCCACCCACCCACACCAATAAACATCATGCAAATCTGAATCATACATATCTGAATGGACACAAATGGAAGTTTAAGAGGAATTAAAGCACAATACAGTGCTCATCTTTTTTTTTTTTTTTTTTTTTTTGTCACTGAGTTGGTGACTCTGAAGTCCTGTATTATTAGCTGAGAATGCCTTGGTAGAATTAGATTGACTCCCACCTGCAGTACACTTGCTCTCCAGAGGTTTCTAAAGTGAGGAACATAGAATACTGACTCCCCCCAAAAAAGATAGTCTTCATATAAGACCAGTTCCCTGACCAAATCAGGTTTGGAACACGGTGTACTATAGACCCATCCTGGATATCCTGGACATGTTCAGGCTGTACAATGGCTCAGAGAAGTCTCACCGTAAAGCAATCTGCATAACTTTGTTGAATCCGGTACTTCTCAATATATTTGAAGAGGAAATTTTTTAACTGAAATAGAATGTATTTCACTCTAGGAATTGCTGGCATGGAGAGCCACAGGTAAGGATGGATGATAATGACATTACAGTGGTGACCCAAGAGAAAATAGTCAGCTGGAACAAGAGTCTAAGATGGATGCTGAGATGCAGAAAAATCTCATGGCTGGGCATGGAAATGCTACTTTGCCAAATGACCCCATATATCTCAGAAATTGGCTGAATTCTTTCTAATATTCTTTCAAGGTCCTCGCTGAGTCACTCCCATAAATGATGGATCTTAATGGTTCCCAATATCTCCTCATGTCTAACCATTTCTCTCTGTTTAAGTTTGTGATTCACACCATTGCAGCAAGCAGGGCTAGAGAGAGTGGCTGAGTTTCATTTTCCAATCATAAAAGTACATCTCAAAGGCAGCATGCAGCCATGATGGACTACGCTGAGGCCTGGATCTCATACCAGAAATTTAACTGGCTGGCTTCTAGAGATGCCCTGAGGAGCGTCACCTCAGCCTGTCATCTCTAGACTATCTTTTAAGGGCCACGAGAACTATGTAGAATTGCTATGAGTAAAAGGGCTGAATTACCTGAAGACTTTGGGAAAAAAAAAAAAAGATGGGCTTTTAAGTCAGGAAAATCTGAGTTCAAATCCCAGCTCTGCCATTTCTTAGGATTGTGACCTTGGATAAGGCTCTCTCCTCATGGTTTCCTCATCTGAAATGAGGGTAATAATATTCCCCTTCAGGGTCACCATGAGGATTAGGGGAAATGATGCCTGGGACAGGGGAGATGCTCATTGAAATAGGATAGTTATTTTACCATATCTCCAAGGGAGAGTCATCACTCAACTCAACTGGAAGCATCAGGAGAACATACATGAGGCTTTCTCCATCTCTGCATCTATTAGAAAGAGGGGAAAAGCACTACAGAAGTGCCCTGTACCTGATTATTCGTGTGTGCTTCTGCGTATAAGGGGTGATAACCTTGAAAAGCAGTTCCATTGCTCCATTTATTCCCAGCATGGCTCCCGTGGTAACTGAGAAAGATAAAATCACAATAGTCATTGAGTCATCTGAATCAGAATTATTTTCAGCATTACAGAGTAGGCCAGAAAGATAGGGGAGTTCCACCATCTTCCTTGCCACAGGCCACTTAAAAGCAGAGAAACTTTATGGGTTTTTCATCCTTGGCTTGGAATCAAAGATCATGTGCAAAGCATCCATTATCTTTTCAAACTATCTTCTCAAAGGGGACCCAAGCCATGAAATTATGTGTTTCATTCCTGATGGCTCAACGTACTTCTCCATTGTATTCTTACTCAGAATAGTTAAGGCAAGTGCCAAGCAGAAGATTTTTCTGAAAGGAGGTCTTTGGGTATCAATTCAAGTGGTTTCACTCACTATCAACTTCCCACATGATACATACACTCATGCACACATACACTCATGTACACATAGGAGCATACCCACATATATACACTGCCAGTATCCTATGAAATACTTCCTTAGACACATTCTGCTATTGGGAGAGACTTCACAATGGAGAAAAGTCATAGGTGGATGGGTTAAGGTTCAGTCCAACTTGGGCTGACTCCTTTAAACTGTAAGGGGCAAGCTAATAAAGAAGGCAACCCCCTTTCTTTTGTACCCTGGTTCCAAGTTCCCCTACAACTTTTGTAGCTGGATCTCCAATGACTGAGTCTAAGACTTAACTGTGCCCCCATCTATTAGCATGTCAAGGGAAGAATCAATTCTTCCTCATCAGAGATCACTAGCCTGGGAAATTTTTGCCTTTTTTGCCTAACTGGATGGTTATTTTTTTAAAAAAGAGCCATAGATCTGAATGATGGAAAATAATAGACAAGGATATCTGGTCAGCCAGGGGCTTCCAATCTGTATTTTGGACCCAAAAACTCTGGGTATCACACTCATCTCCAATGATGCCTTGGCCCCTCTGCAGCATCCCCAGTTCCCCCACTCCATCAGCTTACTTTAGGAAGAGTTCTGATCATGTCAAAAAATAAGAGAAGCTACAGAGACAAAATGAAATTAGTTTGGGAGGGGGCAGAAATTTCAGTGAAAGAAGGAAAGACAAGATTTTCTATCATGTGACTCTCTTATCTCTTTCCTCCACCACAATGGGGTGCTGAAACTGAGCCCTAGGAGTACCTTGTGCTTTGGGCCAGCCTTGTTCTAGGAAATATGAGTGGTAACAAGGGGTTCATGGGGGCAAAAAAGAGAGAGACACAAGGAAGGCTTATCCTGGCTTGCTCCAAGCCTCAGGAAAGAAGGATATGTGGAAATCTGAGGGCTCGAATATAGTTCATCCCAATACAGTCCACCAGAGAGAGACAGGAGGCTGATGTCTTAGTGATTACAGAGACTGTGTGTTCCTGGAACATCCTCTGTGCATATGTCCCTCCTGAGGTTGGTACAGGCAGTAACTGTCTGAATCAAAATTCAGAGATTTGGCATCCTACTCCTGCCCATCAATCTTCCACTCTCATGGCTACTAACTCAGTCCTTTATTTCTAAACTGGGAAAACATGCTGGAGCACTCTCTTGGCAAATCATTCAGCAAAATTCTAGTATTAAGTAGAGTTAGGGAGGATATAGTTTTAGAAACACAGATTGTAACATGGAAGACTTTAGACTTGGAACTGAAAGACTGAAACAATAAGAAACCCTCCCCAACCTGAGTTCTTCCTTGCTGGCTTCCTGCCCAGGGTCAGACCTCTGGCAGCTCCATCAACATCCCCACTGGCCAGGAGAGAGCTGCCGAAGGGTTCATTGGCTGTGGCAGACCCATTATGGCTCCAGCCAACTCCTTCCACAGATAGAGGCTGTTTAGAAAGCTTTCTGGAACATTCAATACTGGCTAACAATTCACCAAAGAGATAGCAATCAATCCACAGGCTTCATGAACTCTGTTTGCCTCTCATCAGTGAAGTCAATGTATAGAGAGTGGTAGCACAATTTTTAAAATATCTTATGAAATAATTCATTGATACAATAAATGTAGCCTTAGAATATGAGACAAATGGCCACCTCCTCATATCTGCAGGCAAATCCCAACATTTTTTAGAGATCCTTGCTAAAAGGAATTCCAGATCTTTATAACCAATATATATATATATATATATATATATATATATATATATATATATATATATTATATATATATAATAAGAAAGGTAAATTATTCAGCCTAATTATTCTTTAGGAAACTAAAATGAGATACTTCAAATCTTACACTGCTGACAAGCCCTGGATGGGGGTGGCACACCCTCTGGCTGCTTGTTAATGAGAGTTGTCCTTTACATAAAGCCACAGCTCCTCACTTGGGTTTTCCTTAATTAAAGATGGGTTTATACAGACCTTGTCAGCCTCTCCCAAAATTTCTCGGGTTTTCTGGTCAACATATATGAGTGTGGGGAGAGGTTCTGAACATGGAGTCAAGGACCTATCTCATGCTTTCTTGAACATACTTTCTCTTTATGGGTCCTCCATTATTATTAATGGAAATAACCAATGAAATATGACCCCGCTAACTATCTTAGTAGTTCTGAGGATAGTTAGGGGGAAAAGTCACCTCCTCATTCCTCTTATGAGTGCTATTCCTATTATTTCAAAGGACTAATTGAGCAGCTACCATGTGACAAACATCCATGAACATCATCTCACTTATCTCATCTAAGTCTAGGAGCTCATATTACCAGTATAATTTTACAAAGTTAGAAACTGAGGTAAACACACTATGTGCCCATGCCACAGGACTCCCAAGAAATGAAATCAAGTTCAAAGCCAGGTCTTCCTGGTTCTAAGCCATGTTCTTTCCTCTAGAGAACATTACATCACTTTCATTGTGCAGGAAAGGGGCTCCGAAAAGAGAAATAAAGTCTGTGCTCATTCTACGTGAGATGGGAGATACAGAATCTAATCTGTTCATAGGAAGTGTCCCCATATGGAGAGTAAACATGAGTTTTGGAGTTAGAAACTCAGCCCCAAACTTGTCTGTATAAACTCAAGCAATTACTTCTCTCTTCCAAGCTTCATTTTCCTCTTCTTGGCTATAAAATGGTAAATCTGAATAAAGGATTGTTATGATAATCTGAATTAATCTAAATCAGGAGACAGCAAATATGTATGAACCTGTATACTATGAGGCATCTAGTTACTTGAAGGACTGTGTTGAGAAGCACTGGGAGATCAAACAAGGTAAAGGATGTTTTGGTAAAGGATGCTGTGATCAACAGGAAACTTTAGGGACATTGTGGGGAGATCTGTGATGTGAAGATCATTCTTGACATTGCTCTATGCCTTGAATATGATATGGCCTGAATAAAGCCCAAAGTTCTCTCCTGCCATAGGTCTTTTTCAACCTGTAGTAGTAATTAATAGAGGAGGCCAGAATACCATAATGTGTGGTTCCGAAGGGTAAACAATTCCAACATCTCACTAGAGGAATGAGCTCGAGAGTTCAACCTGGCTGAGGAAAAGACAAAGAAAGAACTTCTTACCTCTATAGCTTCTAGAACATGAGACCCCTCATGGCTTATTTATATTATTGGAACAATATATATCCTCCACCTATACCTTCCTTCCAACTCCACACCCTAAATGGTTTCTAGGTGTCCCAGCCCAAGTCTGGAAGCTACCCAGAGAGCCACAGTTCGAGTCACTTACCACTAGCAGCGAACACACGCAGGGCCCAGAGACAGTGAAGGAGGTTCTGGCTATGGGACAGGTTTTTCCTGGCCAGAATCAATGTCACATCAAGTGCTTCCAATTCCAGTGCCTTCTGTCCAAACTTTTTATCTAGGAACACAAGTCAATCCATCTTAGCTGCATTTCACATTAATTCTGAAGGCTGCACAATACATGAGGAATGGGAAAGCAAAGATGGTAGAGGCAAGAGAATGATCATAACCAATGCAATTTTTTGTATCTAGCAGAAAATGCTACTAAGTATGTCCCCATTGGAACCACATGGCTCAGAAGAGCTAAGGCAGGGTATATATAGGGCCTATTCATTCCTCAAGTAATATTTACACAAGGCCTTCTGGGTTGTATGACTCATACACCCTGTATGGAAGCATGTTTCTGGTTGTTCTCAAACATGAACTACAGTTTAGTAGGGTATAAATTTCTCCCTTTAAAGCAGTTCTGGAATATAAGATACTTAAGGTACATAACATTCAAATGCAATGTGTGGAACTTGATTGGATCCTTCTTTGAACACATCTGGTATTGCTCCATTGGGAAACATTCGGAGAAACTGAAATGAGTATAAATTATACATGCATTGTTAATTTTCTTAGATTTGTAATAGTGGTATGGGGGTGATATAGGAAAATGTCTCTTTTCAAAGATATACATTCGAACATATGTAAGAGCAAAATTCTATCTGTAATTCCCTTAATCACTATCAGGCTCATTGCAGGTAGAAATGAGTAAAACAGAGACAATATCCTAAACCTGGTTTACCACTATCCACCTCTAGACCAAAAGACACCAGGAAAGAGATGGTGACCGAACGAATATGACCCATCCCCTTCACCAGAACAGAAGCATTTATCAGGCTCCATTCCTGAGCAGCCAACTTCATTTCTGTTCTGTTTGAGTCAGCCCCCACAGCCTGCATGGCAATAGTGAGGGCTACAATCTGGTGATGGCAGAGGCTGTGGTGATATAATAATGCCACTAGTGATATCCAGGTCCATAGCTTGGAAATCAGGGTCCTGGTACACCCCTCATCTCTCCCTCTCTCCTATGAAAGAAACTTCATGACTCTTGTTTGTCAGGCCTCTGGCCCCACATACTAAACAGGTGACATACCACCTCACTTAATCCTTACAGCAACCCTACAATTAAGTACTGATAACTCTGTTTTGTATATGAAGGACCAAGGGTTCAGAAAAGGTAAGTAAGTTGCCCAAGGGCACACAGCTCATTAGTGTCAGGGCCGGAGCAGAAGCTTGGATTTGGCTTTCTCAGTCTATACTGTCTACTACCAGGGTAGACATGGTGTCTTTTGATTTTTTCTAAAGTTCACTTGGCCACTCTTTGCTTTGCTGACTTCTTTTCATCCTTCAAGTGTTGGTTCAAATCTCACCTTCTCCTTGGCCACACCATCTTGGAGGAACATCACCCTTTTTTTATTCTTCACAGCTACTAGCTAATTATCATCCTCTGCTATTACCTAGTGAATTATTCACTTTCTGCCCTTCCCCACTTGAATGTAAATTCCATGAGAGTGGGCCCCTAATCCTTGTTGGTCACAAATGTTTCCAAGGCCTAGCACAGTGCCCAACCCCAGGAGGCATGTAGTAAACACCTCCTGAATATTCAATGAATGAGTTGTATTGGTTTGGTCTAGAATGCGCCACACAGGTGTGTTAATGCTGGGGTCTTAGTCATTATTTGTGGAGTGTTAAATGGACTCAAAGCAGAGATCCAGACAATGCAAGGTCAGAGTGTCCCTGAGCCCTTGCACCCTTAGATGCTACTGCCTGCATGGAAGAAGACAGGTCCACACTTCACAGCACCTGAGCTCCTCCACTATGACTTAGATGAGACTGTGCACAATTGGAGCTTAACTGTTATGATGAGTTTGCAAGGGTTACATGAATCCTGAGTGCTCAGACTTTTTAAACTGCATGCCAAGAAGTTCTAAGGTTTTTTTTTAAGATTGTATTTATTTATTTGAGAGAGGGAGAGAGCACAAGCACAGGGAGCTGCAGAGGGAAAAACAGAAGCAGGCTCCCCACTGAGCAGGGAGCCCAACGTAGGGCCTGATCCCAGGACCCTGGGATCATGACCACTTAATCGACAGAGCCAACCAACCACCCCAGGAAGTTCTATGGTTTTAGGAAGGTGTTTCTAGGTCTTCTCTGAGGAAAAAGAATAGTTATGAAGCATAAGTGGAAACAGTCTAGGTCCCCATCTTCCCTTTTACTAGGGAAGCTCTGCTTCCATGTGACTTATAGTAATAGGCTGAAAATTCACCCCCCAATATTCATGTCCACCTGGAACCTCAGAATATTATCTTATTTGGAAGTAGGGTCTTTGCAGATTTAACTGGTTGAGATGAGGTCACATAGATTTGCATGGGCCCTAAATCCAGGGACCAGTGTCCTTGTAAGAAGGAGAGGACACAGAGTAGGATACCATGTGAAGATGCAGGTAGAAATTGAAGCAGTATGTGTACAAGCCAAGAAACACCCAAGGTTGGCTGGAAACACAGAAGCTAGCAGAGGGGCAAGGAACAGATTCTCCTTCACAGCCTCCAGAAGGAACCAACCCTGCCAACACCCTCATTTCAGACTTTCCGGCCTCCAGAACTGTGAGAGAATAAACTTCTGCTGTTTTGAGCCACCCAGTTTGTGATCATTCATTATGGCAGCCCCAGGAAACTCAGGCACTTATATAACAAACTTCCACACAAGATGCTTCTTGTAGAAATATTCTGTTTGTTGTTGAAGGGATTCAGAACTGCCTGGGAGTATCTCCCCTTGGTCTTCCATATGCTCCATGCCCCATGTAGCCCATGCCCACTCAGGGCCCTGCCCTAGCACTGTACCTGGGATTTGCTGACATCCAGGACAATAAAATGATCTTTCCTATGGGGCTGGTCTTGACACCAGCACCAAAGCATCTAGGACCTCCCTGCACTTCCCCAAAAGAATCTCCCAAATGGCTCTCATGATAATAACCCCACAAGTGCCTTTTCAGCCATCTTCAGGTCTAAGGGGTGTGGGTACCTCGTAGGCCAACTTTGGCCAGCAGTCGGAAGAGGGGTAGGAGGATGTCATAGTCTGGAGAAGCTGTCCTCGCTGTGTCCACCAGAGTCTGCAGAAGGGCCTCACTGCCACCCTTACTGACCATGTAGCGAATCCTTCGGTCTGTGCCTGAGAGAGAGAGCAGAGGAGAGCAAGACCCCAAATAATCATCCTCATTTCCTAGAGCAGAAAGCAGACTTCACAGACAGAGACAGAGCAAGTTTATTGGCCTCAGAAACCAAAATTGTGTGGTTTCTGAAGCAGCTTGTGTAAATCTGTGCTTTTAGGTTAAAGGATTACAAAATGGAAAAATAACGGCATCTTTAAGAGCCCAGGTGTGTTCATCTGCAACAGCTGAAATGAACAGAATCCACTTTTCCTGAGAACCTGTTGAGTCTCAGTGCACGTATGTGTACTTGTGTATGTGGGTATATAAATATGCATGGAGGCTTACCTAGAATCATATCCTTAATGGAAGAGGGAATATCAGTACCCCTCTGGTATAGGCTTGAATCCTCTGTAACCAGAATTGGGATGATAGTTTATCTAGAATAACTGATTGATGGTATAGCAATTTTATGGAACTGGCTAGAGTGCTTCTTTAAGAAACAGACATCCAATCATCCATGTCAGGAGTTTTGAAAAGGGCCTGGAGCTACAATAAGGTATATTGATCTTCCCACCCAAGAATAGTGGCAAGCAGGGACCTCCCCCACCTTGCCCCAGGACAAGCTCAAAAGCAATGATTTCATTTCAACTTGGAAGGAGACCCCAGATCCCTGGGTGGCGCAGCGGTTTGGTGCCTGCCTTTGGCCCAGGGCGCGATCCTGGAGACCCAGGATCGAATCCCACATTGGGCTCCCGGTGCATGGAGCCTGCTTCTCCCTCTGCCTGTGTCTCTGCCTCTCTCTCTCTCACTGTGTGCCTATCATAAATAAATAAAAGATTTTTAAAAATCATATAAAAAAAAAAGGAAGGAGACCCCAGTGATTCTCCACACACTGCCACAGTTGATCTAACAAGGTGGCCAACAGGGTGGGACATTATCAGCAAAAAAGACCCTCTGGTTTTTTCATCCCAATGAACAAGAACATCCTCTAGTAAAGGAGTAGTAATCAGCACCTATATCAGAGGGAGAATTCCAAGGTTTCATTACAAGTTCCAGGCATCTCTAGACAAATTGAAGGAGGCACCATCCCAGAAGACAAGTGGCTTCACCTACAGAGGGTACTGCACTCAGAAGGCTGCAGAGAAGCCATCCTGACATTTGAGGGCGGCAGAGCCTGTGGGAGAACCTCAGTATGCCAGGACCCTTTCTCCTGGTAACTATAACCAGAGGCCCGGTGGCTTAGGAGGAACATTCACTTTGGTATTATCTGTTTGGTGTTCATATTTATTCCTAATGCGATGTGGCTGCCATATGCAGAAATGAGCAAATGTTCAAATGTCCAAGGAGGTATATTTCCAGGACCCTCACACTGAAGTGAGCTAGCAGAGGCATGCCTCAATTAACTAGCTGATTCCAGTGTAGCGAACTGTCATCTTTTCTCTGCAAACGTAATAGCTCACCACACTGCCAAGACCAGTTCCTGCCTCATATTCCCATCTGCACTAGACATGTTAGGAAGTTGCCAATACCTGGCTCTCTAAATGGGCCAATGGAGGGGGAATAGAGGAAGGGGAAGGGATAGGGTCATGAGAGCTATCTCTCTCCGACGACAGCCACTGGAGGATTTTGGGATCACCATAGATGAGTAGGATACCATGTGAAGATGCAGGTAGAAATAGCATAGAATAACCAGCCATAGCCAAATTTCCTCCTAAGTTTGGGTCACTATAGAGTGGGTGACAAGCCTGAAGAACCTTGACTAAACCTGAAGTACAAACAGCTCACTTTACTCTGGGTCTTATTAACCTCAATGAGAAATATGGGCTGGTGAGTCTGTCTCTGACAGAAAGCTGGAGCTGGAGCAACCCAACCCCCACCATGAGGCCATACAGTTTCTGGGACACACCACAGCCACATGCCCCCGCCTCCTCTTACTCACCGACTGAAAGCAGATCTCCAAGAACCTGGAGTATGGTCAGGATGGACTGCTTGTCAGAGGAGCTCTGCAATGAAAACACAGACAGCCATCTTTACGAAGGAATGCAAAAGGAGAGAAGTGGTGTGATCAGGGACGCCTGTGGACACAGCAGAGCTGTGCTCCCTTCCCTTGAGAAAGACTTCTGGCACTGAGAAATGTTTGAAAGGGTATTCTTTTAATGGAGGAGACACAGAAATAAGGGTCCCAAGGGCTCTGTCTCTATATTTAGCCTCCAGGACCCCTTTTGGGGGACCCATTTTGTAGTAACAGCATGAGGATGAAAGAATAAGCAACGAACATCACTCCTATGTGGAATTTAAGAAACAGAACAAACAGAGGGGAAAAAAGAGAGAGACCAACCAAAAAGCAGACTTTCACCTCTAGAGAACAAACCGGTCACCAGAGGGCAGAGAGATGGGAGGAGGGGGGAAACAGGTGATGCGGATGAAGAGCATACTTATCATGATGAGCAATGAGTAACAGAAGTGTTGAATCCCTATGGCACATACCTGAAACTAATATAACACCATATGTTAACTATACTGCGATTAAAATTTCAAAAAAAAGAAAAATGTGTTTCTTAAACAGAAGACAAAAAGAATAAAGAATTAAAAAGAATAAAAAAAGAAGCATGCTATGCTATACTTTACGCAGAGGCACCAAGTGAGAAGGAGCTTTGCCGGCTTTGTCATTTATGCCAGCAGGCTGAGATTTGTTTGAAACACGGGGCAGAGAGCAGAAACAGAAATCTGCTTCAGTGTTCTGAGGGAAAGACTTCCCTGAGTAGTAAGGATGAATTCTTATTTTCTCAAGAGAAACCTGAGGTAGCACCAAATGTCATCAGGTAGATGTTCTAGGGGATGCTTGCAATGCTTGATACTCTCCCCTCTGTTATAGAGAAGACAACACTGAGGTTCCAAAGGGAGAACTGGTTCAAGACCCCTGACATGACCCAATGTATAGCCCAGGCCAGGTTACTAAAACTCTTTGCACTTTTTTTTCTTTTCCTTTTCTTTTCAATCTCAATAATTTATTTATCTGCTTGTTGAAAGTTTGTACACTTAAATACCATCTTCCCAATTCCCAGGCCTGTTAACCACCATTCTACTCTCTGCTTTACAAATTCAGCTTTTTCATATTCCACACATAAGCGATAATCCTACAGTATATGTCTTCCTCTGCTTGACTTATCTCAGGTAGCATGATGCTCTCAAGATCCATCTATGTTGTTGCAAATAGCAGGATTCCCTTCTTTGTCATAGCTGAGTAATATTCCTCTGTGTGTGTGTGTGTGTGTGTGTTCTTTATCCATTCCTCTGTTGATGGAGTTTTGTTTGTTTTCATGACTATTGTCAAGCATGCTACAGTGAACATGGGTATGCAAATATCTCTCCAAGATTCTGATTTCAATTCTGTTGTATATATACCTAGAAGTGCTATATTATACAACTCAAGAAAATGAACTTGAAACAAAGATTTAAATGTAAGACCTGAACCTATAAACCCCTAGAAAAGAAAAACATGCATGAAAAAAAAAATCCCTGACATGAGTTTTGGCAACAATTTGTTGGGTAAGACACCAGAAGCAGCACAGGCAACAAAACCTAAAATAAACAACTGACAGTACAGTAAAGAGCTTCTGCACAGCAAAAAATCAATAAATTGAAAAGGCAGCATGAGAGAAGATATTCACAAAGCAAATATCTGATAGGTGACTGATATCCAAAATATATGTAAAAAATTAATACAACTTAATAGCAGAAAAACAAATAATCCAATATTAAAATGGACAAAAGACCTGAATAGATATTTTTCCAAAGAAGACATACAGATGGTTGATATGTACATGAAAAGATGCTCAACATCACTCATCATCAGGGAAATACAAATCAAAACACAAGGAGAGATCACTTCACACCTATAACAATGGCTTTTATCAAAAAGCCCAGAAAGAACAAATGTTGGCAAGGATATAGAGAAAAGGAAACCCTATATGCTATTTTTTCAGGTAGGTTATTTAAGGCAAAGCTTTAATCTTCATATTAGTAGATCTCCTGTTCCCCATCTGCTTCAAAGACCTCAATAACTCCCCCCTTACATGTAAGATAAAGTCAAAGCTCCTTAATAGGGTTTCCAAAGCTCCTCATGGTCTTATCCCACTTACCTCTCCAGCTTTATTATTCATGACTACACCTCTGCCCAAAGTATATCCTTCAGCAATGTGGAACTACTTATCATTTCCTGCTCTACCATGTAAGTTCTTGCCTCTGTATCTGATCACACTGTTCCCTCTTCCTGAGGCCTGCTCAATACCAGCTCATCCTTCAAGTGTACCAGTGAATTCCTGTAGGATTGTGACCCCCCCTCAGACACCTGAAAGCTGGGTTTGGGATCTCTTTATTTTCCACGTCACTTGAGCTACCTCTGGCAGCACACCCACCACATGGTACTGGCATGCTTCCCACCCTACTCCCACTAGATATTAATCTTTAGAGGAAGGACCAAGATATGTGTTTATCTGTATTCCCAGCACCTGGGACAGGGGCTGTTCCAAGGAAAGTGTGTAGTGTTTTTCAGAATGCAACCAAACTGAACCAGAAAGGAGCCTTGAAGTCCAGTATCATACCCCAAGGCAGAGTGGTGCTTACACTTTCTCCAAACCTGAGCTTAATATCTTCTAGTAACTCACACTTCAAAACCCCAGCCAAGACCAGGACTAGGGCGAGGCAAGTGAGGCACTAGCTTGGGCACAAAATTTTAATTTTAAAATGCAGTTATCAAGACAAATAATATTTCAATGCTATTATATAGCATTGAAAATCAAAATCAATGTAAAAAATATACATAATGAGTAAGGGGCACCTGGGTGGCTCAGTTGGTGAAGCATCTGCCTTCAGCTCAGGTCAAGATCCCAGGGTCCAGGGATCGAGCCCCATGTCGGGCTCCCTGCTCAGTGCGGAGCCTGCTTCTCCCTCTAACTCTCCCCCACTGCTCGAGCACTCCCTCCTTCTCTCTCTCTCTCAAATAAATAAATAAAATATTTTTTAAGCCATAATGAGCAAAATAGCAAAATTTAGCTCTTTAACTCCTATTCCAGGTGTGATGAGACACTTGGGGATCCTTAGGGACCTGGTATCTACACCTCCCCAGGAAAAAGACTTGGCTCTGCTCTGACATCGCCACTGGCCACTCTGCTCTAAGGAGGGCAGTTCAAAAGGCACTCGCTGATGTCTCCCACCAGGTGAGTGCCACCCTCCAGCAAATGTCATCCATACATGTGCACAATGTCAGGGCTCCTTGCCTCTTCTTAGTCTCCCCAGATCTGTGAACACAAACCAGGAAGCAGTGCACCAACTCAGCCATCATTCTGGGGAGTTTGCTGGTCTTTGATTCTGGCACAAATTCCAATGTGTGTTTGGTTGAGAACTGGGCAGGGGTGAGGTGGGGAGTCCTTATGTCAAAAGACCATGCTCTGGATGCCAGCTGTGTGTCCTACGATTAAACTCAATTCAGATACTACCTACTCAGAGACAGCATCAGATTGCAGGGGCTAAGGATTCAGACCTACAACACTGTCCCATGCTTCAGACTCTAGCCTCAAAGTCCAGGCTGTCAGTTATACAGCCGGCCTTAGAACAACACAAGTCTGAGCCGTACAGATGCACTTACATGTGGAATTTTTTCCCATTTGTCCCATTTTCTCTTCCTTATGATTTTAATAGCATTCTTTCCTCTACCTCACTTTAAGAATACAGCACATAAATATATGCAACACACAAAATAAGCATTAATCGACTATTTATGTTATCAGTAAGGCTTCCAGTCAACCATAGGCTATTTATTAGTTAAGTTCAGGGGGAGACAAAAGTTATACAAGGATTTTTGACTGAGTGCCACATTAATTCAGGGTCAAATGTACTTAAACTAGCTATAAATTAAAGATTCTCTCCTCAGGTGCCGCTAACTTACTAGAGCAGCTCACAGAACTCAGAGAAACATTTTACTTACTAGGTTACCAGTTTGTTAAAATATATATATATATATATATATATGTTCTAACTCAGGAAGAGCCAGATGGAAGAGATGCGCCGGGCTAGGTATGGAGAAAAGGCTGGGAGCTTCCAAGCTCTCCCAGAGCATCTCCACATGTTCACTGTTAACTTTAAAAATAAAACTGCCAGTTATTTTACCAGCAAAACTGGGTTTGTTTGGGAATAGGAGAGAACTGCAACCCGGAACAACTACCTTGCTACAGAACTACAGGGATGTCCCAAGAACGAAGAAGAGGGTAGTTGGACAGGGCTGCCATAAACAAAAAGTCCACTGGAGTAAACTGGGAGTTCAAACTATAGTGACTTTTCATTGGCTAAGTTGTGACAGTCTCCCAATAGCTGGGCTGTTAAGGCAAGAAGGGAAATTTTCTTCCTCCTGCTGGAATAGTAAAGTGGTAATGTCTATCTACTTTGGAAGCAAGTCTCTTTCTCCTGGGTCTGCAACTGACAAGTGGTGGGGCATGAGAGCTCCCCATGCTGGCCCCTCCACTGCATTCTAAACAAGGTTTACTTTTATTAATTTTTATATCACTAAGCTAGAAATTCTCTGAATACTGTCCTTTTTGAGGTTGACTTGTATGAATTTTTTAAAAACTAGGAGGGCACCTGGCTGGCTCAGTTGGTTCATCATGAGACTCTTGATCTTGGGGTTGTGAGTTCAAGCCCCATGTTGGGTGTAGAGATTACTTAAAAACAAAATCTTAAAAATGTATATATGTATTTCTTATTATAAATCACAATATCACAGCGGGACTGCAGCCCTTTGAAAGTGGACCCAAAGGTGGCTCAGGGTAAGGAACAGAGTCCCTGGGAATGATGTTCCTGATCAGCACTAATAGTTCTGGATCCACCTCCAAAACCCCAAATTGGTCTTCTTTCTGAGAAGAGGGAGAGGTATAAAAGGTAAAAGCCGGGTTGTACAATATTGTATAACTTGTGAAATGCTGGATTCATTATGAATGAGGAGCTAAGG